TCATCCTCACACTGCACCAAACCCTACACAGGACCTCTGTGCACCACAGACGTTTGGAGACTGCCTCTGGGGAGCCCACACCCAGGCTCTCCAACGTGCGTGTTTCCCTTTCTTCCTCTTAACCTTCAGACCTTAGCTTATATTAAAATATCGCACTTAAGGCCTCGACCCTGCTTCTTAAAGTAGAGAGACCTTGAGTTCTTTTCTCTACTGAAACCTCGGCCTGAGTCGAGGTCCCCAAAGTGGGGGGATTCTCGGGGTAGTGCATTCGACAGTGGGAAGCTGTGCTTCCTGCCGCCCTCTCTCCAAACACTCACTGTTGCTGGGTTAAACGTGAGGACCAAAGCCTGCCGTGGGAGGAAAGGGTTTATTGGACTTACAAGTTGCAGCTCATCAAGGGAAACCAAGGCAGGAGCTTGAAGCAGGAAGAGCTTACAGGCTTACTTCCTGCTTCTGCTCGCTGAGATTCTTTATAGGACCCAGGGCCACCTGCCACAGTGGGCAGGGCTCTCCTCCACCAATGATTGCTTCACAGACATGCCCATAGGCCAGTGAGAGAGAGGTGGTCTTACATGAGGCTGCCTCTTTGCAGGTGTGTTGAGTTGACTTTCAAGACTGTGTGCCTAACAATCACACTGGCAAACATACCAACATACCAACAAATGTTGGATTACACCTCTGCCTTAATCAGGGCTTTCTGTTTCTATAAACACACACACACACACACACACACACACACACACACACACACACACATTTTGAAATTTAATTTTTTGTCATGTGTCTGGGTGCCTTGGTCTGTGCACCACATGTGTGCAATGCCTGCTGAGGCCAGAAGAGAGCATCAGATCCCTCTGGAACTGGAGTTACAGACAACTTGTGAGCTGCCATGTGGGTGCTGGGATTCAAACCTAAGTCCTCTGGAAAAGCAGCCTGTGTTCTTAATTGCTGAGGTTTTATTCTCCTTGAGACAGGGTTTCTCTGTGTAACATCCCTGCCTGTCTCGGAACTCGCTCTGTAGACCAGGCTGGCCTCGAACTCACAGAGGTCCTCTTGCTTCAGCTTCCCAGGAGCTGAGATTAGGGTGCAAATGACTCACATAAAATATTTCCTTAAGGCAGCCAGTGAAAGCTACGTTGTGCTGCTGAGAGATGGAGACTTGCACCTCATGGGTCTCTAGTAAACTAAAACATGCTGCCCTCAGGGTGCCCGCAGCTGGCCGGAGAGCCAGCTGCATTAGGGATACACCCCACCCCCATCAACCAAATCAACCAAAACCAATCTTCCATATGGGACCTTTGTATAATATAGAAAACCCACCCATGGCCATAGCTGAAATCCCCATGAGGTGTGGCCTCAGGACAGCTGATCTCAGTGGCCCAACCTGTCTCCTTCCTCCAGTGTCCCCTCCTCTCTGCTGGAGGGCTCAGCTGGGGATGGAAGAAAAGACTGGCATCGAATCGGGATGCTGGGGGCCCCTGAAGCAAGGGCTCATGGAATGAGATTGTCTGGCCCCACAGTGGAGGCCCTGCCTTGCGAGAAGCTGTTTGTCATGGGTGCTGCTTTCTTTCATTTGACTCGGTGTGATTTATTTAATATGGGATCCAGAGCACCATGCGTGCTAAGCACACATTCTATTGTTGAGCTCCACACGCCCTCAGCCTCCGTCATGACTGTCCATCTCAATGACAAACTGAGCCAGGATTCAGACCCCGGAAAAGGGACAAGGTGGCCCCCAAGCATTCGTAAGTAACAACTGGCCCTCCTCTGGCTTCTGGGTTCAAATTCCCATAGCTGCATAACTCTCTCTCCATTTCGCTTTCCCCTTCCCTGTCTGCCCCCCTCCCCCCTCCCTCCTGGAAAAGAAAAACTCAGCTCAATGGTACCCCCTGGTGTGTGACAGGAGCAATCACAACACTCCTTGGGGTGCTGCTGTGGACCTCTGAATATGTAGGCGGATGATATTAGAATAACCAAAAAATTTGAGACGTTTAATACAGATACTGTAAATATATGAAACATGTTTCTTATTTTAAAATACCCAGCATCAGTTACTTAGTCATGACGTCTGTTGCTTAAAATATTCCAGCAAATCCTGGGGATGGTCATGTGTGCCTGTAATTCCAGAATTTGGGAGACCCCCTTGGAGGATCAGAGCCTGAGGTCATCCTTGGCTACATAGTGAGTTCTAGGCTAGCCTGGACTACATGAAACCCTGTCTCTCTCTCTCTCATACACACAAATCACCTAAGAAAATGGAGGAGGAAAAGAAACCCAATAAACGTTTAAAAGGCATTTGCCGGTAAAGATTCGTCACTAAAAGCAGCATGTAGCCCTGTCTCCCCGTGTGCATGCTTGCACATGTCTGTGTTTGTGTTTCTACATGGGCATGTGGGGGCCTTAGGTCGACACTGGGTGTCTTCTTCAGTGACTCTCCACCCTAATTTTTGAGACAGAGTCTCTGACTGAACCTGAGCTCACCAACTAGGCTAAGCTTACTGGCCAGAGAGTCCCAGGCATCTTTGTGTCTGCCTCCTCAGCAAAGAACAGGCGCTCATAGTTCCTGGCTTTTATTTTTTAGTATCTTTTACTGAAAAATATTATGTTTTGTTTAGTGTGTGTGTGTGTGTGTGTGTGTGTGTGTGTGTGTGTGTGTGTGTACGTATTGGTGAGGTTATGGCTGTGGCATGAGTGTGCAGGGCAGAGAATAAGTTTTGGGAGTCAGTTTTCCCATTTCTCATGTGGATGGGGGTGGGGGAGTGGGGGAGGCTTGAACTAAGGTTGTTGGGCTTGGTAGCTGGTGGCTTTATCCACTAAGCCAAATCTCCAGCCCATGCCTGGCTTTTTATATAGGTACTGGGGACAGAGTTCAGGTTTCCATGGCAAGCACTGTGTTGACTAGATCATGTCCTCAGGACCCTGAAAGTGGGTTTTTCTCAAGGGAAGTCCATGGGAAGGAGATTGGCGCTTTGTGGTTTGAAAGTGGAAACGGGATAGAAACAAGTGAAAAAAGGGAATGAGAACAGAGTCCAGGACTCCCGTCTATTCTGCTGTTTCCACTGTGGCTGATGGTGTGGGACACGTCCCTCTGAGACTGAGGGGCCATGGCCTCTTCTATGCAATCACAAGTCAGCCTACTCACCAGTGTACAGGTGTAAATGGTCATCTTGTTTTTAAGGACATCAACTGGCCTGCCATGGAGAGAGCATCTCCCTGAACCAATGGTTTTCTAAAACTGGCCGTGTGTGAGTCTCTGTGTCTATCTGTCTATCTGTGTCTGTGTACCTGTGCATTGTGTGTGTGTGTGTGTGTGTGTCTCTCCGTGTCTGTCTGTGAGCATGCATGCATGCATGTATGTGTGTGTGTGTGTGTGTGTGTGTGTGCCTGTGTGTGTTTGTGTGTGCCTGTGTGTGCCTGTGTGTGTTTGTGTGTGTGTGTGTGCCTGTGTGTGTGCGTGTGTG